AAAAAAAAAAAAAAAAAAAAAAAAAAAAAAAAATTATGCATACACACACCCGTTTTAACTAACTATAACGCCATTTATTTCAAGTGATCATTTGCAGCGTAGTCGCGGAAATGTGCTACGCTAAAGGTTCATGTGGAATACATATTTTGTGTTCCCCTTAGAGAGGCTCCTCTGACGTCGGAAGAAACAAATATTGACAACTTGCAGGGAGGTAGACAACTCTTGGTTTAGAACAATTTAAAATGAGCGAACTTGAAGTGAGCCTTGCAGCTTTCTTCTAATACTTTTGGAGTACACAACTGTTTGGAGTGTGCACTTTTTTTATGACGTGTTAATGCGAATGTTACTTTTTTTTTTTTTTTTTTTTTTTTTTTTTTTTAACAAGCTGCACAGGTAGCCATTTTGAAAAAAAACTTTATAGCGAACTTTTTTTACAAATTGAAATTTAAGCAAATTTGTAGAGCAATCTGCTAAACCTATAAAAGGTATACATTTGGGTGTTTACCCTTCCCCCTCTCCCATCAAACTTCGCATCCTTCTTCTGAAAAGTGCCCCGTCATGGCAATTGCTACCAGTAGGCACACCAAACAATTAAGCAAAAAGGTCTCCTATATCGCTCGAAATCTTCACGTTGGCATTAAAAATGGTTGCTAGCGAGTGTGTGCAGTTAACTGCTAATTCGTTGAGTAACGTTGCGCGGACATCCATTTCGCTTTTTCCTTTGGGGTTCCGGCTGACTCTTGTCTTCTCTCTACTTTTTATTTCATCCAGCTCATGCATGGAGGTGTAGTCAGTGTGACTCATGCCGCAGGACAGTAAATATTTCAGAAAATTTTTGTCAAGGTTGAAATTTAAAGCCATTCCGTGCATAGATATGTATTTTCTTATTTTCATACCGATTGAAATAAGCTTTTTATCTTTGTGAAAAACGCCAATGGAATCTTCCTTTGTGTGCGCTTTTATTTTAAATTTTCCCAAAGTTTCGATTCCAATTTGTTGGATGTTATTTACTGTTTTGTGTAGATCAAACGAACTTTCTGTCTTTGCGTTGAGTTGCGCGTTACATCGGAGAGGAATCGTTTCCTCGTTGTGTTCCTCCATTGTACGTTGTTCTCCCTCGTAATCATCCGTACGTTGGGACGAATGGGAGACACTCCTTTCGCTATAATTAGAGGGATACCTTTTTAAATCTAATATGAAGTATATGATTAGCTGTCCTGGTCCATGGTACGTTGCCTTCCCTCCTCTGTTAATACGATATATTGGCATTATCATTTTATTTGCATTTTGTGAAAAGCTATCAAAATAGTTTTTCCCTTGATCATAATTTTCGCTCTTGTCTATTTCGTTCTTAAAATATTCCTGCTTGCTAACAAATTGGGAAAGGCTCCTTTCGTCCAAGTTGTTGTATATGTCCCCTAACTCCTCAATGTAGTAACTGCTTTTATCGAGTAGGATGTCACCCAGGTGTGCTGAGCTGCCCAAGGTGTAGCATGGAGTGTGCTGAAGAATGAAGCAAAAATCATATTTTTTAAGATTTTTTTCAAACCTCTTAATTTTATCTTTCACCAATTTGGGTGTGTTGGGATGTATGGAGAATTTATTTCCGTTTTTTAAATTAATTTTGGATCGATGCAACCAGTTTTGTAGTTCAAAAGCGAGTTTGTAATTTATAAGTTTTTTGCTCAAGTCGAAAATGAGAATTTCATTTGTGGCGTGTGCTTCCCGTGTGTTGTACTTTTTCTTTTTTAAAGATCTGCTGAGTGGTTGTGCAAACGCTCTTTTGCGCGTTGTGCATGTAACGCCCTTCAGTAGAGCATACCCTGTTCGGAGGATTTGTTTTTCATTCTTTAACTTGTTCGTGGAGCAAAGGATCATAAGGCTTATCGCAGCCTGCACAAGAAGTTTATTAATCATGTAGAAGGATCAAATCAGGGGTAGGGGGGGATGCGTGGTGCGTCATGTAACACTGTCCTACTATGGCGTTGTTTATTTTGTTCTTTTACAACCTTTCTTATTTAGTGGCCAGTGTGTGCGTTTGTGGGTGGGGGACAATGTCTGCTTCCCAAATTATGTGCTTTCTGTGACAGATCCGAACTCCGCCCTGAATTAGTCACAAGAGTGGGTTATATATATATTTTTTTTGTTTACAAAATTGTGAGCAACCATACGGTGATAAATAACGCCTTCCATGTGGGGCCCGTTCCATTCCTTACAAGTACGACGTGCCTCGTTAAAAACAACTGGTAAATACCTTTTGGGAAAATATTTTAAAAGAAAAAATTATCCATATGGAGTTAACCAAAATTGTAGAACGATGTCCCCAAGTTCTGGCAAGCTGCAAAACGGAAGGTCTACTTGCATGTTCATGTTTAAATTTTTTTTTTTTTTTTAAATCAATATGGTTGCCACTTTTTTTTTCGTTCTCTGTCGTTTTTCCTTAAAATTATTTCAAAGGTTAATTTAGGCGTGAAATTAATTCGCGTCCTGTAAGTTTTATTTAATTAAAAAAAATATATATGAGGACACATACGAATGAATTACCAACGGATACGTGTGTGGGGGAGGAGCTAAAAAAACAGCTCGTGTATGTTACACGGTGACCCACACATGAGGGGCAACATCGCGGAATAATAATTTAAAGAATTCGCAAGTGCGCACGTATCATGCTATTATTTTTCTGAGCACACAAAACAATACTTCTACCTTTGCACGGGGGGACACCTCCGAATGTACGGGCGCGCTGCTCCCCCCTTTGCTTTAGCCTATTAATATTTTTGGGATTAGTTTACATGGGTTCAGTGTAAATTCGTCATTGTAGTAAAGTCCGTATCCAAATATGAGGGGCGTGAAACAGTAAAACAGGAGGGGCCTTATGACGTAATCGCACAGGTTCATTGACAGGACATACGTCTGCAAAAGGGGATAATAGTTAGTTTAGCGGCGAGTGTGCGGCGTGGGATTCACTAGCGGAGATCCCAGTGGGCATACAGATCGGGAAGGAGTGTCCCCTCCCATTCATCATGTTTTTCCCACATGTATCATTTTTACGCAGTGGTGAAGCGGAAATGAAGAAACTCTTTTCTCCTTTCAATTCATTCACGTGCGATATGAAGGCACACGTTGCCTTTACCTTATTAATCAGCTTTGAGGAAATGGAGTTGCTGTTGCTCCTTCCTCCTGTGGAGTCTGCTTTGAAAATTATCCATATGGAGTTAACCAAAATTGTAGAACGATGTCCCCAAGTTCTGGCAAGCTGCAAAACGGAAGGTCTACTTGCATGTTCATGTTTAAATTTTTTTTTTTTTTTTAAATCAATATGGTTGCCACTTTTTTTTTCGTTCTCTGTCGTTTTTCCTTAAAATTATTTCAAAGGTTAATTTAGGCGTGAAATTAATTCGCGTCCTGTAAGTTTTATTTAATTAAAAAAAATATATATGAGGACACATACGAATGAATTACCAACGGATACGTGTGTGGGGGAGGAGCTAAAAAAACAGCTCGTGTATGTTACACGGTGACCCACACATGAGGGGCAACATCGCGGAATAATAATTTAAAGAATTCGCAAGTGCGCACGTATCATGCTATTATTTTTCTGAGCACACAAAACAATACTTCTACCTTTGCACGGGGGGACACCTCCGAATGTACGGGCGCGCTGCTCCCCCCTTTGCTTTAGCCTATTAATATTTTTGGGATTAGTTTACATGGGTTCAGTGTAAATTCGTCATTGTAGTAAAGTCCGTATCCAAATATGAGGGGCGTGAAACAGTAAAACAGGAGGGGCCTTATGACGTAATCGCACAGGTTCATTGACAGGACATACGTCTGCAAAAGGGGATAATAGTTAGTTTAGCGGCGAGTGTGCGGCGTGGGATTCACTAGCGGAGATCCCAGTGGGCATACAGATCGGGAAGGAGTGTCCCCTCCCATTCATCATGTTTTTCCCACATGTATCATTTTTACGCAGTGGTGAAGCGGAAATGAAGAAACTCTTTTCTCCTTTCAATTCATTCACGTGCGATATGAAGGCACACGTTGCCTTTACCTTATTAATCAGCTTTGAGGAAATGGAGTTGCTGTTGCTCCTTCCTCCTGTGGAGTCTGCTTTGTTATAATGCATGTTTTGGGGGGCGGGGGATTTTTACTCACTCGGACCAGGGCGATGACCTGTATGGGTTTGTTCCGTTTTGATGCTACACGCAGGGGGCATGAGGTGACGTGAGGGTGATTTGTTTCGTTTAGTTTCGCTTCGTTTAGCTTTGCATTAGCTTTGCTTCGTTTTCATTCGTGTTACTTGGCTTTTGCCTCATATTTATTTTATTATTTTTTTTGTTTTCCATAAATGCGTACATTGCAACTCGTTGCAAGTGGTCCCCCGAGCGGCTACATTATTTATAGCAGTGCATGACTCCGCCACCACATGGAGAACCGCTCCTTCCCCTTGCATAAATCGCACCCGTGTAGTAGCGCGTATGTGGAGCCTAAAGCGGGACTTTTTTTTTTTTTTTTTTTTTTTTGTGCATGGATACATTGCACCGAAAATAATGGCTTAAAAAAAAGTGGATTTTTTTCTGTATCCCAAGTTGGAAAAAAAAAACAAAAAAAAACTTTTTTATAACCGTGGATACAAGTCGTAGCAAATACAAAATTGCAGAATGATTGGCGAATGAAACAGAGCAAAACGGGAAAAAAAAAAAAAATAGCAAGCGGAACAGAGCTAGTTGTTAGCAAGTGCAATGAGCGTATTAAGCGAGAAGGAATTATGACCCAGGGCTGTGGAAATTTTTTTAAACTTTTTGAGCCCACATAAAGCGGTCCATCTACCGAGGGGACGGCGAAGTGGCGGTACTTAGCAGGGTGGAAACGGAAATCCTACAGTGCTATCCTTAGTGGGGAAGTGCGCGTGTTTGTGTTCCCCCGAGGGTCAGTCTCTTAAAAACAACCCAGGGGGAAAAACATTACCTCCATTTGCCACCCCGCTGGTGTGTTGGCCGCAACCCACTTGTTTTTGCCACCCCCCCCCGGGAGTTACTACTCAAACAAGGATGAAGCGCATGTCGTCGTACGACACGGGGCCAGAGTCCTCAGAGCTGAGCTCGTTCAGCCTCAAGGGCAAGTCATCATTGAAGAAGAAGAGTGAGAAGGGCGATAAGGACGTGAAAGAAAAACACGTAGAACACAGTAGCAGCGACGAGTTTAGTGACGAGAAAGAAACAACAAAAAAAAATGAACACAAGAAGAAAAATGATCACAAGGATAAAAAAGGCTCGCTGAATAATAATACCCAAAATAAAAATGCAAAAGGTGGAAAACAGAATAATAATCAAAAGAGCCCACTAGACATGTACAAAAGCAAGTTAAAATTTATAACAGACAACATGATAATTATTGGTATAATCCTTTCCTTTATGACTTTAATAACGTTTAAATATTTGGAGGAGAAATATTCCATGGAAAAATATTTAGAGGACGGCGACTCATTTGATTATTACGAGGTGTTAAAATGCAAAAGAGGAGACAGCATAAATAAGATAAAAAAAAATTACCGAGATTTATCAAAAATGTATCACCCAGATAGTAACAAGGATTGTAAGGATTGTGATAAAAAATTTAGAGACATTACTAAGGCATATAAAACTTTGTCTGATCCCAGATTGAAAAAGGCATATGATCATTCAAAAGGGAAGGTATTAAAGTTGATTGAGTCTAACAGTATAAATTTGACCATGAGAAATTTTAAAGATTTGGTAGAAAATTCAAATGATTATTGGATCATTCAAATTTATTCAGACACAGATAACCTCAGTTTGAATTTTTCAAAAATTTGGGAAGAGGCATTTGACAAATATCATGAGTACATATCCTTTGGACGTATAAATGTACTGACTGATAGAAAATTGGTGAAGAGTAAAATACCTTTTAATGTGAAGATTTTTCCTACCATTTTTATTCTAGCTCCAGATGGCACCTACCACTTATATTCAAACATCTTTAATGCTACTTCGAAAGATTTCCAATCTTATATTATTAACAATTATCCTAACTTGATATATAATGTGCAAGATTTTAATAAGGAATATTCTGCCCTGGTGAAGAAAAATGAAACTGTGAGTAAAATTGGATCCTCTCATATGGACAAAAATAATAAAGTGATTCTTCTCTCTAACAAAAATAGGTTAAGTCTTCAAGCAAAACACATCACCTTCAAATATAAACACATATACACCACTTACACCATCCGCTACAACGAAATTGAACATTTAACAAATGAGCCTTTGAAAAAAGAAATCATTGACGCGCTCAAAGTGCTTAGTGTGAAAAAGAGTGAGTACATTAAGGAAAATGAAAATATTGATTACTTCCTTTTGGTTAATAATAAATCACAAGTGAAAATTATTAGAAGAATTTCCTCCTCCAATATTAAAAATGTATATAAAGATGCCTTGATGAAAAATATGGTTGAAATTAACGCTAGCAATGTGGACTCAGTTTGTTCTACTGTCGGGTCAAGACACACTTACTGCTACGTCACCATCATAGATGATCTCACAAAGGAAGATACACTAACCACTTTGAAAAAAATTTATCAAAATGTGAATAATTCTTATGCTAGTTTTACGTCCAAGTTGGGGGCCGACGAAGTCGACAGTAGCATGTTCATTCAACCCGTGTATTTACTAAAATCAAGTATGACAAAAAATTTCTTCAAATTTGTTAACGACAAGTCTATTAGCACATATGACTCCTTCTTTATGGACTACTCTTCGAATACCTTCGCCACAGTCAACGAAATAAAAAATTTAAGTAACTACTCCCAGAAGAAGGAAGACATTTCCTTCCTCTCCAATATTTACAAAGACATGGAAATTTTGACTTTTGAAAAAATACCTAAGTATTGCCTGCCCATGGAAGTTAACTGTCTTTATAACCCCAAGAAAACATTGTCCTATCGACTGTATAACATTTTCAAGAGGACCTCCCAAATGCAGGTTATCCTTTCCGCCGCCGTGGGCTTCTTCCTCTACCCTTCCTTTAAGCAGTACGGCAAGTTGAGTTACGCCTGCCTGGCCGCCTCCATGGGTGCCACGCTCCTCGTTACCAACGTCAAGGATTTTCTGCTCCTCCTCGCCAGTTAGAAAGCAAAGTGTGCATGAGCGGTTAGCGGCATGTTGCTGGGCACTTTTTTTTTTTTTTTTTCTTCACTCCTTGCATAGCACGGTGTTTTTCCCCCTTTTTTTGTTACCTCTCTTCCATGGAAGCGGTGGCCATGCTTTTGTGTGCCCCCCCCCCTCATCCGATGTACATCTGATCAACTCATCGAACCTATCACCTCTATGCAATGAACAAATCAGCTGCCTTAAACAGATTGCCTATGTTAGCTGCTACTATTTTTTTTTTCTTTTCTGTTGCGGTGCTGAACTTTTTTCCCTCTTCTCCATCCCGTCCAAGTGTGACCCACTCATAAAAAATTGGAGATGGTCTTGTCGAACGGCGCTACGTATACGCCCCTCTACCACCCCTAACCGTTTTAACCACACGCATAATGAAGCAGCTGCGTGTTCGGTTTAGTGACACTTGTTGAGTAGCTCCCTGCACATGGTCATGCTCTCCCGGAGGAACGTTCTGTCAGGTTCACATTATTAACCTTTTTTTTTTTTTCCTCAAACTGGATCACATTTCTCGCGGAGACTCCTCAAAAGCATGCAGATTAGTGTATGCTTTCGCTGAACGCGCGTGTTATAAAGATATGCAACTCTTAAGCATTTCAGAACATCGCCTTCGTGCATGTTGTTTTGTAGTAGCCACCGCGTGGGGGGAGTGCGCCATTGGCGCTGCGCGTGTTGTTTGCACCTACACGTTTGTACACGTGCATAATATCCCTTTCAACGTGGCCAAAAAAAGGGTGGAAAATATATATACATATATATTTTCTTTTTAACTTTGCGGTTCGAACTGTTTTTTTTCCATCAGCACGAGCGTCCCAATAATATAATTTTGTTAAGCCATTCATGGGAAGAAATAGATTGATGAGCTCAGGCTTTTTTTTTTTTTTTTTTTTTTTTTCCTCTCTCCCATTTTGTTTTGTACTCTACGCCTTCCCGCCTCTGCAAAAGGCCTATGAGCAGTATAATACCATATGATACATTCCCTCACATGAGCCTTCCAAAGAAGGGGAGTGCACCTGTTTTTTTTTTTTAGGAGAGGGAATTTCATTTCATGCGAATATGACAATTTGTTGGAGCTCATCCCGTCGTGACGCTTGATATGTACTAAAAAAAAAAAAAAAAAAAAAAAAAAATTACAATTGAGCATATGCAGGTATCAGCCCATCGATTGTGAAGATTTTGTGTGGAGTTTGATGTGCCCAGGTTAGGGGAGTTTTCCAAGTAAGGGGTCCGAGACCACGGTGTGCACACCGTACAAACACGTAGGCTCATGCGTGTGTATGTACGTTCATACGTGTGGTGACCTCCTGAAGTGCCTATCTGACCACACCGTAGCGGCGCATTCTATTTCCACCCCGTCAGTTCACCCATAATGCCGCGGGAGGAGTGGCAATTTGAGCAAGTGACAATTTTCAGCAGCAAAAAAGTATAGCATTATCCGTGAGGGAATTCGAGCAAGGAGAAAAAAGGTAGGTCAGAGGGTGCATTCATCTCACCTTGGTACCTTTTAGCGTATTAGAGTGAAGAGAAGGATTATCTCTTCTACTCGTGCACACACACCTGTGTGTTTTTAACCCACGTTCATATGCACCCTCATTTGCGCATGTATATGTGTGTGTGTTTCGCCCGTGTAGACACTGCCCTCCCGTAGAGACCACCCCGGCATCCATTCCACAACCCACATGTGCGTAAGGGCACCGAGGAAGGCAGCACAGCACCAGTTGTATTACTACGCCCAACCCTAGTGCACCCTTATAACGAGGAGCAAGGCACGTACAAAAAAAAAAAAAAGACACATCACAAAGGAGCATATTGAGGAGGTCCACTTTTTTCCCCCCAACAAAAATGAACAAAGAAATTACGCAGTACGATTTGGAGGCCAGCTCAAATGTAGAAGTAAAAAAAAAAATCAATGAACAAAAGAGCCTGTTTGAAAAGGTAAAGCCATTTGCCGTGGGTGGGGCCAGTGGGATGTTTGCGACTTTCTGTGTGCAGCCACTTGACATGATCAAGGTGCGGATTCAGTTAAATGCTGAAGGAGCAAACGCTGTTAAGAACCCATTTATTGTAGGCAAAAATATTATTGTAAATGAAGGGGTACTGTCTTTGTATAAAGGGTTAGATGCAGGGCTCACTCGACAAATTGTATACACCACAGGAAGGTTAGGATTATTTAGGACCTTCTCTGATATGGTAAAGCAAGAAGGGGAACCTTTGCCATTTTACAAAAAATGTTTTTGTGCACTCGCTGCTGGAGGATTAGGTGCCTTCATGGGAAACCCAGCAGATCTGTCCTTAATAAGACTACAAGCTGATAATACTTTACCCAAAGAATTGAAAAGAAATTACACAGGCGTATTCAATGCTGTGTATAGAATTTCAAAAGAAGAAGGAATTTGTGCCTTGTGGAAAGGATCCGTGCCAACTATTGCACGAGCTATGTCATTAAATTTGGGTATGCTCTCCACATATGATCAATCGAAGGAGTACCTGGAAAAATATCTAGGGGTAGGTATGAAAACTAATCTCGTTGCTAGTGTGATTAGTGGCTCTGTTGCAGTCACTCTTAGTTTACCATTCGATTTTGTTAAAACATGCATGCAGAAAATGAAAGTCGATCCTGGTACGAAGAAAATGCCCTACAAAAATATGCTTGACTGCACACTCCAGTTATATAAAAAGGGAGGTATATCCATCTTCTACGCAAGTTACTCAACATACTATGTACGTATTGCGCCCCATGCAATGATTACCCTGATAACTATGGATTACTTGAATAATTTATTAAAGAAATTCGCTTAGCTTTTTTTTTTTTTTTTATGAGCACTTCTTTATAAGTGTGTTTATGTATGCTGGTACACATTAAGTGAAGATCACCAGCCTCTCAATTCGTAGTGCAGACAAGTAGTGGCATTGGGGGGGGCAACAGCACGAGAAGAAGGAGAAGTAGAAAGGCACACTGATGTGTGCACACCCAGACTGCTTCACATGGTACATCCATTTGTTCTCCTAACCCTCGCCAATTTTGTATAACTTCTTTTTTTTAAAAAAAAAAAAAAAGAATCCTCACTGTGTATCATCTTCCTAAGGGTAAAGCTACCTATCCCATGTAAAAATCATTATGAGCAAATTGCATCACCCCTTTTTTCTGCTCCTCTCATTTTTATCTCCACTGATATTTGTTCATAGTTTTTTTTTATTTTTTTCACCATGTTCAAAAAAACTCCTAAAATATTATAATAAATTTTTTGTTCCCTTTGTAAAAGTTTATCTACTTTTGTAATAGCTGTCTGGCGGAAGTTACGCGTCGATCTTTTTTTTTTTTTGCCATTATTTGTTGGAAAGGTAGCCAAGTGAGCAGCTTTTCTGCATTGTAAACTGATCGGCACCATTCGCATATTTCCCCAGGAGAACGATTGACACACATTTTTGTTTGACTTCATCACCAAGACATATTTTGAACAAGCTTCACGCACCCATAGTTCTTTCTGCTTAACTACTCATGGAAGTTTAGCCCAAGTTAGTACGAACTGCAGAGGATTCACTAAATTGGCTACCCCTTGGCACTTTGCACAGGTGTACGTTTTACTTGGAACAACCAAGTAATTCTCTTTGATGCTCTCTGAATTATGCTTCACCCAAGCTGCGCGGGTAAGCGCTTAAGCCCCGTTCAGTGAACGCGGGAATTCTTTCAAACTGGTCCTGCGTCTAGTGCAGCAGTGCACTAGTGCACGAAACGTTGGAGCGAACATCAAAAAGGGGACAAAAAAGGGCACAAAAAAGGGATAAAATAAAAAGATAAAAAATGGGTCCAATTTGCACAGCATAGCGATATCATGCACCTCCTAAGACGCGGTGAAGCGCAAAATGAACGTCGTCCAAAAAACATTGCATATGTAGAGCAATATATTGAGCGTACGTTACAAGCGCGTCTGTTGGAAGAGTTTGCCATGAACTCGCTTCTTCGTCACACTACTTGGTCAGGAATGCAGCCTCGCTGGTTCAGCTACACGGGGGGGAGTAGCAAAAAAAACAAAAAAAAAAGAAACAAGAAAACCTCCGTAAAAGTTTTCCCCTTCACTGTGGGAATTACCACAACGGCTAGATCATGGCGTTTTGTGCCGCAGGGTGTGGCAACTATTTTTTTGTGTTCCCACTTGAAATGATACTGGCCATCGCGGTTGCGCCCATTTTGTCTGTTGCGGGGTCCGCTCTTTTCTTTGTCCCCTTTCCGTGCACTCAACGCTAAGCGTACAGCGCCCACTGCTCCTCACCCACTACAAATCATCGTCCGCCGCAGCGCTGCTATTGTTAGACGTGACCGATAGCAAATCGCGTGGGTCAATCTGGTCGTTGTACTTCTTCTTTAGCGGTTTTTCCTTCATGTTTTTTGTCAAGGATATAATATTTTGGAACATTTCCTCCTTTTTCGATTTCAGCTTATTTCTAAGAGAGCCGTGGTAGGTTTTTCTTTTGTCCGCATTAGCACTCACGTGTGCACTCTCTCTTTTGACACTTCCGGTCGTGTCCGTTTCTTTTTTCTGTTTTCCATTCTCTCGCTCGTTACGCGTGAAAATTTCCACAGAAGGTGCAATTGGGTTAAATGGGTTCTTTGAAACCATTCTCACATTTTCCTTTTTAAATATTTTCGTGTCATTATCAACGAGAACCTTGGTCTTTGACCTGGCGAGCATTTTCCTCGCGCCAAATGGGGGAGTATTACCACTCATTTTATCCTTCTTGTTCTCCAAAGGATGTATCCCTTTGTGCGTATTGATGACCTTCTTTTTGTTTAAGACTATGGTGTAAGGTGGGTTCTTCATAGAATTTAGCCTAGACATGGTTTTTCTCCTCTTCAAAGCTACCGTGTTTTGCTTTTTGAGCTTTGTGTCGAACATCGATTTTTGTTTGCTCAGAATGCTTTTTTTCCTATGTTGGAAGTTAATATTTTTGGTGGCGAAAGTGACGGTATCTCTTCTGAACCTCAAAGATTTGGTTCTCCCAATTGCTATGGTGGAGTGTTTATAAGTTAATTCTTTCTTCTCATTTTGCCTTTTGGGTGGCATAATGTCCCTATGTGGATTGTAGTATCCCTTCCTGTGTTTGGGTGCACCTTTTTTCGCAGATATGGCACCCCATTTGTCTTCCTCATTTGATGTTGACATTTGTGGGGTGTTAGCAGTTTCTCTTTTATGTTTTGACTGTATGACATTTTCCTTTGCTGCTTCGTACTTTGGAGTTGCTTGTTTGCATGCTCTGCCTTGATGGTCCGACGCTTTCGCCCTTTCGTTGTCGCACTGGTTGAACAAGCTGCGTGGACTGCGCGGACTGTGCGAACCGTGGGCACCTGTCCCCGATGAGTCTCCCACTTTCAAACGCTCATTCGAAGTGTCCCTCTTTTTGGAGCTCTCAGTGACGCTATACTTATTCCACACATTTTCATGTTCGCAAATTTTGACCTGTTTGATGGGCTGTTTGTCGTGCTTACCTCGCTTTGCGCCGTCATCTCGTCGCATGTCGGACGTTTTGCGTGTTTTTCCTTTCTCCTGCGCTCTCATTTTATCGGCCAACATTTCGTTCTTGTGCAAATTTTCCGCGTCTCTATTGATTCGTACAGGTGTGTCGTACGGGTCATCCCCACTTGTGTTCCCCTGGCGTTGATTCTTCCTACCATTCGGCCCCTTCTTTTTAATATCGTTTATGTACTGGCTTAAGATTCCCTCGACTTCATTCTGCGCTTCCGCATTATGGGGACTTGCCATGTCCTCATCGGAATCTGCAAACATCGTGCTGAATTTATCTTCTCCTTTCACATCAAAAGTGACTTTTTGCTCAGAGGGGCGTTCGCCATCGTCGCTCAGGTTAGGATCACCCCTGTGTTGAGAACAAATTCCGTCTACCTTTTGTAGCCCCTCCTGCGAATTCCTATTTGCCTTTTCATTGTAGCTGTAATGGTACTCAGGTTTGTCAACATGGACGTAGTCGGCGCAGTTCTCTACTGGACTGTCCAATCCGTCACATGTGTTTTCTACATGATTATAACCCGCATATGTTCCTTCCAAGTCGTGTGCATTGGTCATGTCGAACGAGCTGTAATGTGAATCCCCATTTCGGCTGCTTCTCTCCTCTGGATAATGAACCGTGGGGTATTCCCCAGCCGGATCAAAATGGTTCTGTACATTATGCTGCGCGTTACACTGCGGTGGGTTGGTATCAATAGGGCAGCTCAATTTTGAAGCGAATAAATCAATTTGTTGACCACGTTCATGACGTTTTTTCTCCTTTTTTTCCCGTTTGTCTTTTTTACCTTTTTTGTTCCCTCTACATTTGGAGCACTTTTCATATGGGGTATCCCGAGGAACTCCGTACGGGTAGGACACAAACGGGTTACATTGTCTGTTCATTGTTTGCTGCACCATATTAAGTGGGGAAAACACGCACCCCTTCAGCGGTTCGCCAATCGGATACGTCTCGCGATATTCCTTGACATATGGGCCCTCTGGTTCTTTGCGGAAGTATGGATTGTAAAAGAACTGCCTAGCTTTTATATCATTAACGAATGCAAAGTCTTCTTGGGGCCTGTACAACAGCTGCGCGTTTATGTTTCTGTACCCAGGTATGCAACTGGCTTCTTCCATCGTAGGCAAAAAAAATGTTCTATCAAAATAAAGTGTTGTATTTGTGACAACGTTGCTAATTTGTAATTCGAGGGATGCAGACACAGGGCAATAAAAAGGAACGCGTATTTTTTTTTTTTTTTTTTTTGTTGCTAATGCATAATAGGTGTATGCTGTAGGAATGAATTTTGCCTCACGCAGAATGTCCATGCATTGATGGGAAGCAAAAAGGACAGTTCGTGAAAAGTGTGAGTATGTTAAAGCGTATACTATGTTGTGCGTGTGTATAATTGTTGGAGACGTAGGATTGGACACCTTTAAAAATGTACCTGAATGTTTTCGAAAAAAATGTAAAAAAATGAATATTCCAATTTGGTAATCCTGCTGGGAAAAGTAAATGAAAAGATCGATAGGACAAAAGCACAAAATAAACGCAGCTTATTTTTTGCATCGATTTAGTTTGTTTTTAACAAATTGTAAAATGTGTGCATAGGTAGCCAAAAAGGCAAAAAAAAAAAAAAAAAAAAAAAAAAAAAAAAAAAAAAAAAAACATAGAAATAGAAATAGCTCGAAATGGAAGAACAACCTTGCCTGTTCATATATTTTTTCTCTTTTTTTACAACGTCGAAGCTGTTTTGTTCCGGGGCAACCACATGTCGTGTGTGCAAACGTGCGTGGCATACGGAATCGCGGCTGTTTTTTTATATAGCTGTTTTGTGGTATACTCTTTTGGGGATTTTTTTTTTTTTCATGTTCATTCATTTCGAAGCTGGTCATACGCTTCCTAGCAGCTCTACACCCTGTGCGGGCAAAAACAGCGACAATTCCCCCCCGCAATTTTTCAAAGCTGCAAGAACGATGGTTTTTTACCCGTTTAGCAGCTCTATGGGGGAAAACATTTAAAGGTGTTCTCCCGTTCGCTTTTATGCTACTAATATAAATAGTGTGGTATAAGCCCTTTTTGCGCGATATTTCCGAAGTAGCATGCTATTTTGAAATGTACCTATATCACAGCAACAAGTTAACGATAAAAAAAGGCATACCATTCTTCCGCAACGTAGTTAATATATGCTTTTTGAGGAAGGCACAAAATGGGGATGCAGTAAAAAGGCGAAAGCTGTTTTGCAGCACCAAGTTCATTTCGACCATTTCAGAAGGGCGTGAAACAGGATGTGGCCAAAGGAATACGGATCAGCCTTCCACCCCGTTTGGAAGTTACACTGAGAAAAGTAGCTATAAAGACATACAGATTGTAGAAAATGAAAAGGAAGGCAATGACGCCGCTGAAGAAATAAACCAAAACGACATCATTGCAGTAGATTTTGAGGGGACCAATTTGGGGAAGTATGGCAAGGTGTGCATAATGCAGGTGTACACGCAGGAAAGAACCCAGGGAAGAACACACCAAACAAGTGAGTGCTTATTCCGTGAGAAGTACTACATATTTGACTTGTTAAAAATGTCCGTCATAAAAAGTGTTAAAAAAATAATCGAAAATAAGAAAACACTAAAACTGGTACATGACTGCAGGGAAGATAGCTCCGCCCTGTACAACCAGCTGGGAATAAAATTCGAAAACGTTTACGATACGTCCAGGGCACACATGCTACTGATGGAAAAGAACAGAAGTAATGATATATATCAAGTAAGCTTTCTTCAACTCTTGAATGATTATTTGGGGATTAAGGATGAGTGTTTAAGTAGCATCAAAAAGGAAATGTATAAGAATGAAAAAATTTGGGAAGTCAGACCATTAAGTAAAATGTCTATTATTTATGCCTTAAAAAATGTGAAGTACTTATTCCCCCTGTACAGGATTTTCGATAATATGCTTTCAAAGAAAATCGTTTTGGAAAAATCGAAAGATTTTGTAAATTACTGTTTTATGAATTCGCAGTATAAATTACCCGTCGATTTGGCCAAACGGGGAAACATTGTCCAAGCTATGTTGGTCAGTAAGTCGATGCTAAATTGTGTTTTTAAACTGAATACTACACGGAAAGGAATTGCATGCACCCCGTCTTCCGTTGCGCAATTTCGGGATGTTAAAGTGGGCGATGTTGTTCTGTGTGTGGTAAGCAACAAGTCCATAGATCAAAAAATTTTATATTTGTGCAAGCATGATGATGTATACGATTACTGGAATTTGAAGGAAAGACCTAGGGGGAAATTTAAGCCGTCCATACATGAGAATGCCACCGACCCGATGATTCAGTTTTGCGATGAGGAACAACCAGCGTAGATTATGGTAGGAGTTCCCCCCCACGCCAAAAGATAGGCAGGTCGCTTTCGTGCGATTGGTAAAGAACACACAAATGTGCGCATATACACACACACACACACATACGTCGTATGATATAGCGTTGCGTGAACTTCTCTATGCGTAACAAATGGGTTGAGAAGATGTACTGGCGTGTAGGCCATCTCAGCTGATATGCTCCGTGCGCTCAAGTGGAACATCTTAACGACGTGTTCGCCACTCCCCGTATAAGTTCAAGGTGTAATAAAGGAGGGATTCTTCCATCGCGCAGGGAAGTGTTGAACTGAACTGAATCGAATTGAACACAGTGTTTTTGTGTGTGTACAGTGCGCGCCTGTGAATAAAAATATGTTTGAATCCCTAATTTGGGCATTTTTGTGATTGTATTTTTTTTAACTCTTTGAAGGGAACCAACTTTGCGATGTGCTTGCAGTAAAGCCGGAAGCGCCGGCGAAACTGTCTTTTTTTTTTTTTTTTTTTAATTATATATTTTATTTGCGTATTCGTTTGTGCATTTATTTAATTACTCTCTTTTCGGGTCATTTCCTATGCTCAGTAAGGAAAGAGCCGAGGCTAATTCATTGCAGGGGGTACATCCGTGTGGAGGCCCTATTGACAGCGTTGATCCAAAGTCCGCATCTAAGATCCTGCAGTGTGAAGGTGAAAAAGCTGCCACGTAGAAGCACCACTCAGTGGGCATCTTCACAAGGGAAGCAAAAGCGCACATTCTGTTTATGCCAAACTGAGCTCACACATGATGGTTAGCATGTGTACCAGTTTAGCTCCGCGTCGGGTGCAGGGAAACACAAAAAAAAAAAAAAAAAAAAAAAAAAATACATATGTTAAAAAAAGAGAAAAAAAAACACTAACCTTTCATGTACACCACAGAGGCACCATAGCTACAAAGTTTGCTCCATTCCGGTTTAGAACAGGAAGCGCGTAAATAATTGCGCACATCGGGTGTTCCGGAAGCGCGGCTTTAAGTGGATCTTCCAAGGTGGCGGCAGAATAAAAGCGCCCTTTAAAAAATGTAGATGTGCGCATACTCTCACACGTATGATCCAGTGTATACGCAGGTCCATTTTTTGTTTTATAATTTGTTTTATCCTTTAAATGGCACAACCTTTAAATTGGGAACAGAGAAGGAGGTGTTCCATTTGTATGTGTGCCATGTGTACGTGCACCATTTGTATATGTATCATTTGTTCACGACAAAATATAATCTCGAGTTGACACTGCCTCTGACATATCAATAGGCCTTTGGCCGCATTTCCCGGGTAAATATTCCTAGAGGGAAGCGGCTAAAGGGCAACATCGGGAAAGCAACGGAAAGATGAACGAAACGAGATATTACAAATGGGTAATAATTTTAACATGAAGAGAAAATGAGAGGCAGATGTACCGTCCCTCTGTTGTGTGCAGCGTGGGCATTCTTTTTTTTTTTTTGTCCAGTTGAGTGCGCACTAGCGGGAAGGTGTCCTCGGACGGTGTTGACCTTGGAGCGGTTGGAGTGCTGAACCTTAGCGCACTTCACAGCTTAGGACACGTAGCTTCCTGCCCCGGACACGTCGCACACTTTTGTAAACGTCGTACTGAACGAAAATTTCTTTCATTTTGTAAACTTCCCCCACTTTTTCCAACTCCTTCATCCCCCGCAGTACCTTGAGAACGGCTGCGATATCGTGCCCCTGAAGCGAGGGAGCAGCCGGGAAAGCGACTACTCGTTGATGCTGCTGGACATCCAGGCAGACTTCTCCGAGTTTCTGATCGAAGAGAAGAACATCATTAGTGATGAGAAATTGGTGAACCAGGAGGGGAACATATTCAAGTTACAGAAAAAACAGTGCATACAAAAGCAAAATAATGCTAGCCTCACAGCGCGAGAAACATATGTGCACGAAATTGACCATCTATGGGCCTACATCGAATGGCACTACAACTTCGAGGACGAGATAAAGGTACAAAAGAGTCTGGTCAGCGATGTGGGGAAATTGAGAAAAGTCCCCAGGCTATACGTATCGGCGCATATAATCGATGGGATGATAAATGAAATGTCTAAGGATGAAAATATATGCATGCTGAAGTATACTACCTATCCCAGTTTTTACAACAAGTATGGCAATGACATGGAGAAGGGAAAGGAGGAGGACAATGAGAGTAGCATTTACAATCGGTGCAAATACATATATGAAGTTTGCGATGTGGCAGACAAATCACTCGTTTTTGCCAGTAGCCCTATAATCAACACGACGATGAAAAATGTCCTTAGTATCACCAAGAGTGGGAAAAAAAGGGAAGACTTTAATGAAGAACAGGAGGAGAAAGAAGATATTGTACAGGACGAAATTTGGCAAATTTATTTATCCAAAAGGATTACATGTATAAATGATCAGTGGTTGTTAATTTGTATCAATCAGGAATTGAAAGATATTATAAAAAAATCTGGCGATATTTATTTCAAAATTTTTAATAAATATATAAAAGAGTACAATGATTATTTGAAAAGTCACAACTACAATATATCGAGCCATAAAAACGACATGCATGGTTCGAACATGTTTGGAGGAAACCATGAAGGACACAACATGTTTGAGATGAACAATGGTCCAAATGAATGCTTAAACTCGGAGAGGCTTAAAAAGTATCGAGTGAATTTAATTTTCGCGGGCAATAAAGACATCAACTATATCCTTTACAAGTTATGTCTCAACTTGGGAAAATTTAATGACGCCGTTCTGTGTACAAAAAATAAAACATATAACATTCTGCTCAACGATATTGACGGGACGTTGGCCATTTGCCTAAAGTCTTTTTTTTCAAAATATTATGGAGGTGGAGCGGCGGGGGTGAGTAGTGCGACGGAAGAGGAACTGGTCAAAACGCTGTCCATTATGGGACTCTGCAAGGAGAAACTTGTCTTGTCCCAGAAGGCCACCATTTTTAGCAACATCGAGTTGCTGTTTTCATACTACCTAATTGTGCACAGCGAGTCATTGGAGGGGGAAATCGGCCAAGACGGTAACGTAGACGAGGATGGCGTCATCTACCTGAGCAAGAAGGCATTGTTCGAAAACTTGCAATTCTCCACGGAAGAAATTTGCAGCTACCTATTGCACATGCAAAAGTACAGCACCAACAATTTGCTGTTTGTAAAAAAAAGAGGTTTCCGATACGTCAAAAGTGAAATAATATACGAATTTCTCGTTAAGATAATAGAGTTAGTGAGTATCCACGACGAGCTGTACGCGCAGCATTATATAGAGTGGGGGGGAGAAAGTAGCCCTTCTTTTAAGCAGTACAGGGATGACCTGCACAAGGTGGTAAGGAAGAGACACGGCATCACACTACAAAGTTTAGTTAATCTTATTCAACAGAATGAGAGCGAGTTTGCTTTCTTAAAAAATAATAGAATTCCAATGGACATGTATGTCATCCTACAACTGTGCTGGAAATGTTGCGACATCGAAAACAAGCACTTCGATTTTTTTAGTCTGTACTATAATTATTATTTCTTTTATGAATATCTCAATATGCCTTCTGAGGAGCTCTCCTTTGAAAAAATATTTGATCATTATCTTCAATTCTTGGATGATGACAGCCAAGTGAGCGACACCTTAGTCTATTTCAACCTCTTTAAGCTTCACAACATTATGTCCTTAAACATTCTGCGCTCCAGTGGCAAGGTCGTTATTCATTCAGACGAGCTGTTCACCTTCGACATGGACATGTTAACGTATGTTAAGTACATCGATGAGATGTTCAGAAATTTTAATTCCAACTTGATGGACAAAATGATACAAGACTTTATCAAATGCTACCAGTTTTTCCTTGACTATGGTTACGACCGAGCGGTGAGCAGTGACAACAAGGTTATGCAGAATGGCCAGACGAAGAAGCCTCATACCGTTGAAGAGATGAACATGGGCGCTGATCCAACAGATCCAATGGACTGCTCCACTAGCGCAGCTGATGTGTACAAAGACAGAGTGCTCTTCAGAAACAATAACATCCTTAACGTTAGCAACATCAAACATATCTGCAACGACTGCTGCATGTTCGAATATTTCATCGTGGTCAAGTACTACTACACGGATAACACCTTTTCCTTGCTCGAGAAAAAATTGAAAAAATTTATTCACTCAGTGGAGGAAGATTTTACAAGTGCACACATGACATCTGCCACAGATTATTCTTCCTCTGGATCTGGAACCGGGGGAAGAGGAGGGGCTTCCTACGAGATGAGGCAAAATTACAAAGCAGACTGGAAAAAGGCCAAAAGCAACTACTCCTTGAATTACAAAATTTTTAAGTACCAAACAACTTCCTTTCCACAAATACGCCTGAGCAAAAACTACAACGATCTGCTATGCTCTGTGTACACACCCTTGTCTATTCACTTTTCCATTTTTCACGAAAACGTAATTTACAATAAGAAGCAGAATACCTTTCAGCTCATCCCTTCCTTTTTGCTCAAGGAAAATTTGCGTAGCTGCTTAACTGCTCTGTTCACCTTCAAGAATTCCTACTTTGCTCAGGAGTTTTACCCCTTTTTGAATCCTCTTCTGAATAACAAGGTAGGTTGTGGGGCGTCCCCTCGCCAAGGGTTCATGAGTGCATGGGTGCTGAATGTGTAATGTCGTTTTTCCACATATGCCGGTTCCCATCCATGTTACCACCACTCCCCCCCCCCCCTACGCAGGACCTAATCGGAACCATCGCCGTCCCACCGCTGCGTCATTGCAGGACCAAGCTCATCGAACGCGAAAATGAAAAAAACGTAGAGTTTCTGGAAACCGGAAGCATCGTCCTCTCGACGTTGAATAGTGACATGAAGAACTACACCAAGTACGGTGTTCAAAACCGGAAGTTCGTTGAAAAGCTTTGTAAATTGTACAATTGCAACTTGCCCGTGAACACCTTCTCCCCTTAATAGTGTCCCCTTCGACTTTCCCCTTTTTGGCCGACACCCGTCAGCCGTTCTGCATCATTTTTGTTCTCGTTTGTGCTAGGTTGGGTACCCGTATGTATCTATGATGGCCTTTGTAATCTAACCCTAACTTGTGCCTCATGCACCACCCCCTGTTAACAAATTTTTACCATCTCCAGAGTGGCTAACACCCACATCATGCCCCTTGCGTCGAGGCTTCTTCAAAAAGTAATCGAAGTTTTCCATATAGTTGTGGTCATAAATGTGTTTCACATTTTCTGGTAGTTCATAATTCTGCAAGCGCCGTTGTCCCTCCTTCACGTGGCTGTGTGTAGGAATGACATAGTCCTCAATATTGTTGGCGTACAGTTTGTGACTCATTAGGACGCTCTGAGGGTAGATAAGCTCTCGTATCTTCCTGCTCAGGAGTTTTATGCCTAGGCCAAACTTGGCAGAGGTCCCAATAACTTCTATATGGGGGAACAAATTTTGCAGACGGAAATAAAGAGAGTCTAGATTGACTAGGGCGTTTTTGTGTAGCATGTCACACTTGGTGGCAACGACAAGTTCTTTTTTTTTTAAGTAGTCTGGGTTGAAAAGGAAGAGTTCATTTCGTAGCATTTTTATTTGCTTTATTGTATCGTTATGGTAGTCCTTTAGGTTGGCACGGGCTTCGTTTGATGTGTACATATGGTTACTTTTCTGTTCACTGGAGTTGTCCCTGTGTGTCTTTAATTTTTCATCCTGCCCTGCGCACATGGCATCCCCAGCGCACATCGCATCTGCTGCGTACATGGGGTCCATGGCATCCCCCATCTTGCCATTCTCCCCCTTTAGACTCTCCGTGTAGTAGTCTTCCACCTGTGTGTCGTCTACATTTTCAAGTTTATCACTTGCAACGTCGATGACGTAAACGATAAGCTTGCTTCTGTATAAATGTCTGAGGATTCTTTTTCCCCGGCTGCAATCCTTGTGTGCATTATGAAATAAGAAGGGTGTATCGAGCAGGGTTATTTCAACCCCGTCGATGTAATTAATATTTGAAACATGTGGTATGGTGGTGCTAAACATATGGCTACTAATATTGCCATAGTATCTACTGAGGCTACTACAGAGGGATGTTTTCCCACTGTTTTCAATACCAATGAAGGCTACATCGTTAAGTAGTCGGAGCTCCAATTCGAGGAGCATTTTCTCCCCCTTCTCAGGCAATCTATAATCATGTTTTTTAAAAAACGAATATGATATGCCTCCTTTTCCTCCTCGAGCTACCAACAGTTCTTCATTGTCTTTTAAAAACTGATGCCAAAAAATACTCTTATATATCTTCCTATTATTTTCATTTTTTTTTTTACAATAAATTCTCTTCCTCACAATTGTTCCTACGGGGACGAATACCACTTTATCACTACCATCTTTTCCTCGGCTGTTTTCTTTAAAATTTTCTCCCTCATCTGCTTTAACCTTTTGTTCGATTTTGATTAAATCATAAATGCTTCTTTTACTTTTCAGAATGACATTTCCTCCGTGTCCTCCATATCCTTCACCCTTTAACTTTTTACTTCTTCGTCTTTTGTAGTTTGGCTCTCCCCCTTTTCCTGACTTGGCTACTACCCACAGGAAGTCGCAGAAGCGCCTTTCATTTCTTATCATCAGGTGATCAGTTGGTTCGGTGAGGATTTTCATCAGCGCCTCGTTCTTCGGGGCGTCCCAGGGAATTCCGTTATCACTTTCCAGTGCGCAATGTGTGCCAGGGGCTTCACTGTCCACATTGGCGATGGATTTTGATCCCTTCGTTGACGGGGAACCCCAATGTCTACCCCCTTCCGCATAACATAAATTGGCGTCTTCAGTTCCGCGCAGGCTGCTCAATTGAGGGCTTATCACAGGGTCTCCCGTTGTGAAGCCCTCCTGACTTTGATCTCCCCCGGGTTGGACACTCTCGGAGAGAGTCACCCCCGCCGCATCACTGTTGGAGGAGCTTCCTATGGACGTCCCCCCCTTTCGCCTGCGCACAACGACTTTGCTTTCTCCCTTAATGTAAACACACTCGTTGTTTTCGTACACATCGTCTGTTTCCTGCACGCCGTCCTTTTCTTTCACACCGTCCTTTTCGTGCACGCCGTCGTTGAGGTCATGGTGGTCACTACGCGCGTTGCTCTCGCCACAATGGGTTGGTGTGTAGTCCCCGGGGGGGCACTTGCCCACTCCCGAGCTGCATAACGAACTGAAGGTAACTCTTCTTAACGTGCAAAAACGAAGTGCACCTTTCGACTTTGCGCCAAGGCTTACATTCGAAACTCCCTCATGCTTTAACAAAAAAAGGACGATTTCTCTTTTGGGGAAACGTAAAAAAGAAATTTTTTGTATGAGCATAAGTCGGTAATTTGAAGTGAAACAATTATAGGGGGAATTACTTTGCAATAGTAAATTGGGGAGTTGGTCATCTGCTTTGGTGAGCTTCGAATGGGTAAGTTTTTTTTTATAGCCCAGTATGTGTTCATGGCCTTTCTATAGGGGAAACGCACGAATGGGAAAAATACAAACAATTGAAGGAGTTAAATATTTATACGGATGAAAACAATTTAAAAGGCTTAAGGAGTGTTAAAACAGGAGGAAAAAAAAAAAATAAAAATAACCAAGTCATACCACGGGGTGAAGAACAAGGTTTAATTCCTTTATTCTTAATTATATAGGTTCCATTGTAAAAAAAAAGAAAAAATAATAAAACGCATGCACATATAGCAGACTCCGCTGTTACTTCACACTTCACCAATTATAACCGTCGAAGGGGGGAAAAAAGTGTACGGGTGCTTTTTTAGAGCGGCACCTGTGTTTAACACATGCTTTATTTTAAGAAGGGGTTGCCAACTATAGGATTCACAATACGAGGGTCTATTGAAATGGTGCAGGGTGTAAAGAAAAAAAAAAAAAAACAAAACAAAGAGCAACGGGGAGTTTGGCCTCGATTCGTCTGCGCATACGACATATATGTGTGCGCACACACTCGAGCGGGAGGGTTCAAAATGCAGGGCAAAGCATACAAATGTGCGTATCGCGCAAAAACAGAGTGACTGGTTCGCAGTCCCGTTGGGCTGTCCCAAAGGAGCTGTTAAACCTGGGGCTTCTTCTACTCTGCTATTCTGCGCTTCGCTGCTTAATCGCTTAATCGCTTCACCGCTTCACCCCCCCTGGACGTAGTGCCTGTAGATGATCGAGGTACCGTACCCCGTGAGAAGGCCCATTCGGAGCAGCGTGGAGCCGAAGCTGCTGACCATGGCAACGTTGCTCATCGAGTTTAGGGGCTTCAAGACATCGGAAATGTTGATAAAGGACATAACGACAAACCAGCCATTTAGGTAAATGTTAGAAAAAATGAGGGCGCATTTAAAAAGAAAATTTTGCAAGAGGGCCATATCTGTGAGGGGGATTATCAAACATAGGACCGATAGAAACGTCCTCGCGAGTGAGTATATGAATACCTTCTTTTGTGGCAGAAGAAACTTTTTAAAAGCTGGTACTGTCTCTGCAAAGGTTGGAAAAATTCTACTGACGCAGTCCCCCAGCTGCACCATGCCAATCAGGATGTATCTCTCGTCTACATTTTTGGTCCACATTTCTGGGCAGACAACAGGGAAGACTGCGATCTTGAGGAAAATATTGTAAAAGGTGCAAAAGAGGAAAACGATGGCCTTCTTGTAGAGGAATGCCTTTATCCTGGCTTGCTTCATCATCTCGTTTAGCTTGACGTTGAATGAGGAGACGTCTGGGAAGAAGCGACCTTTTGGGCTTACCTCCATGGGGTCTCTGGCGTCCCTCCCTGCCTTCTCTACCTTCCCGTCCTTCCCTTCCTTCGCGTTGTTGGCATTTTTCTTCGGAGCTTCCTTCTGCGGTTGCTTCTCATTCTCGCTTTCATTCCTACTGTAGCCGCCTTCGTGAGTGGAACCCTCAACCGGTATGACGAAAGACTCCCCCCCGGTTGTTCCCCCCACTTTGTCAAACAGCGCGCCGCTTCCACTGCGCGCTCGTTTCCCTTTGCTTTCCTCCTCGTACATCTTGAACTTGCGTTTAAACTCATCAGTACTTTTCAACACGGAGTAGAAAATGAAAGAGATGAAGATAAAGGTGCAATTGATTGCGCAGGTGGCAAATATGGATCGCATAAGCTTATGTACATCTTTGTCAATTCTTATTAAAAAATATAAAAAGGTAGATGTAATGAAAAGGGAATAAATTCCAGTCAAACCATACGACAAACAAATCACTTTGGAGCTATTCAAGACGATAGTCGCAATGGAAAAAATCATCGTCTTCATTACGGAGCAGGTTGCACCGATGAATCCAATGAGCACATAAAATAAAAAGGTCTGGTCATAGTAGTACTTTACGACAAGAGGGTACAGAAACTGAAGGGCAAACGAAATGACAAAACATATGTCATAGGTCCTCGTCTTCACTTCCACAAATAAAGAACTGATTAGTGAAACAAACACCAAGACGGAGAAGTATAGGAAGAAGGTGGACGACACCACGATGTTTCTGTTTAACAGTTCGTGGATGTGGGGGGTGGTATTCAAGACGCAGTTGTACAAGAGCACGGAGGACATACCCATCAGGCACAGGGTTATGTTTGCAAACGTGTTGTTGAATTGGAGGTGATCTTTGTGCACCTCTATGCGCCCTTCTTTCGCGTCTGCTATGTTCTTCGCTTCCGCGGTGTTTTTCATTTCCGAGTTGTCTTTCCTAACCGGTGGCGAGGTGGCACGCTGGGCCGAGTTGGTTCGCTTACTGGGTGCGTTCATTTTTGGCAGTGTGCGATGATTCGTGATGGTGTCTGACAGTGCGAAGCTGCCTACAGCTATATTCGTCCCTCTCCCAGCCAACACATACACAACAAGGGCTCCGTTTGGGAATGTCCCTTTTCTTTTTTTTTGGCCCTCTACTTTGCTATGGAGACTTCGAGGGCCAGCTAGCTATTGTGCTGCACCCTTTTCTCTTTTCAAATGTGGTTGTGATATATTTACACGTTCAACACTTGTTTTCCCATCACCTCTTTGGCGAGCGCGTCCCTCGCGATTTTTCTCTAGCAGCATAAAATGTCCGGTGGTAGACCCAAGTGTATATAGGGAGGCGGTTATGTTTTCAGGAAAAAATACAAAATTGGCAAAAACTTCAGGGCACAAAAAAAATAAGAAAACGTGGAAAAAGAAATGTGGGCGAAAAAAAAAAATAAAAAGCACAAATGAAGATATATGTGCGGGTTGTGGCAAATTATTTCAGGTTTGGAAAAACGCGACACCTTTTTGCATAGAGGAGAAAAAACTTTCACGTTGAGGGGAAGCCACGGCGCTCACATGAAGGTGAAGGCTAACATGGATACTTTGTGGCTGCTAACCCTTGTGAGCACCTGTTCTTTTTTCTTTTTTTTTTTTTTTTTTGCCCAAATACCGAGTAGGAGAGCTTACAAATGTGCCACTTTTTTACGCGCATGTTTTGCATAACAACGTGGAGTTCTCTCCCCCTCACACACCGAGCGCCGCTACAATCTTCTACATCGAAAAATCAGTTAACCGATTGGTGTGCCCAAATTTGTTAATCGGGATAATCCTACAATACGTGAGAAATGGCGTGCTTCTTCAAAAAAGGGGCTGCACAGTGTTAGGGATTTTTTTGGCTGCCATCTTTTACCCTATGGGGCCGTGGCATCTGGGCACACTTGGCACCACAGCGTTGTAAAGTAGGCGGTATATATAAATCACGGTGAATGAAAGTGTTTCCTGCTTTCGAAGCACATGGGATTTTTATGAGAATCATGCTTCCCTTCCTGATGAGCATTACACGTGATTTTCTCATATGAGAGGGAAAACTTGCCCTTCGATGTAGAGGCAATTTTTTTTTTTTTTTTTTTTTAACCTAATTTTGTACCACAAAAGGGGACCTCATCAGTTTTGTATAGGTCTACATAAACCTGTTGTGGATGCCCCAAAGAGCATCTATTTAGGAGTGGCTGTTTTAATGCAGCAGATGTGTAATAAAATGTGTTCACATCCCCTTTTTTGTTCTAGCGATCAGCCAATATTTTACACCTTATGGGAAGGCAAAAACAAAGTGTGCGCCATTCTGCTTGGAATGGTACACACTTGAATAAGGCGTTTTAATTTGAGGGTCCATCTTAGGGAGCGGCCAATGGGGCCTTAACCTCCTCGAAGTAGGTTTTTTTGCATGTTCCCTCATATGAAGGGATCCCATTTTTTTTTTTTTTTTCACACTCCATTAATAAAATGATAAGAAGGTACCTGAAGATATACCCATCCATTTACTACACCAAGCATGTGAAGACCGCCCCCGAAGTGAATGAGCACTCCGTGCAGTTGAAAAAGGATTACGTGTTTAATCAGTATGGTGGACAAGAGGTGTTCCTAAACAATAAGCTAAAGAAGGGACAAGACGAAAACGAAGTAAAGAGAATCTACTACTTCAAATTGTGGAACGCCCTGACCGAGCATAACTTCACTCTTTTTGAAAATACGATTCAGCAGTTTTTAAATGAGGGGCACAAGTATGACGAGGTGGTCTACTCGATTTTGATCCACTCGTACGTGCTGAACCATAAGAAGAAGAATGAAAATGTAGGTAGACATTTCTGTGGCTTCATCGCGCAGCGTAGCGGTGCTGCCGATCTGTGGGGGTAGCCTCCCGAGCTCACCACATTCCTGTGTGTGCGCCTATGTATATGCATCCGTGTATGCCTGAACATATTCCCTCGTGTGTGCCCCCCGCGCAGGCATACCTTGTGATAGAAGAAATGAAGCGCAGCTACATGCACCCGGCCATTATAAAATTGAACGAGAGGATGATCAACTCCTTCTTAGAACTGGAAATGATTTTCTGCGAACCGTCCAAGAGCCTTTGGATAAACATATGTCGCCTCGTTTGGGAGACGTCCATCAAGCTCAACAGAGAAAGGAAAAGGAAGCTAAAGGAAAAGCTACAATTAATGCCCCCACAGGATGTGCTAACATTGACCATGGAGGACTTAAAGCTTATGTTGAAGAAGGAATATGAAGATGCTTTATTAAATATGGTTGACACGATGGTGTTGGAGGACGAGTCTTCATATGATCACGTACTAATTGGAAATGACGAAATGGATGATTCGATTGGAGAAGTAGTAGGCGGAGAGGAGGGCGCAGTTCTTACGCAGAGAACCCACCTTCCGCAAAGACTAAATCATCCTCTGATATCTCCGGCCGAAGGAAACAGCCAACACACTTACGACGATGAGCTGTATGATTTTCATAACGACTCAGCTGATGGAATGCACTACTACTCAAGGGATGGCACCGAAAGCTTTAATGCTGGTTCCCCTCTTTTATACGGACAGGGCACCGGACAGGGTGAAGAAGAAAGTGCTTTGGGCGATAGGGAGCTCCAAAGTTTTATGGACGTCGGACTGGAACACCAGCTCAACGACGACGCACTCGAAAATGAGAACGAAGATGAAACGGACGACTCGTTTGACGATAACGAAGACTTTGATATTCAGCTTTTGAAAAAGTACTACAATTTTAAGTAGGTCCAAAGGGGCAGATTGCTTTTGCGGGTAACGTGTCTGAGTCGGCTTTGTCCTCATTCATTTCATTTTGCCTCTATTTCGATACACCTCACCGTGTTCCCGTTTATGTACTTTTTTTTTTTTTTTTTTTTTTTTTTTTTGTCTACTTTGCGAATGATCAGCCATATATTTTGGCTGTTCCCCCTTTTTCGCGCCTAAGCATGAGGGGCTAGTCATTCGGCTCACACCTTTTCGAAAAGGTGCCTCTTCTATTTGTTACAATTTTTGATAAATACTTTTTTTGCCCACCATGTAATGGCACACTTTACCTCATTTCGTCAAGCTCGCCTTGACGGACATCCCCATATTCTCCCCCATCTGTGTATTCATTTAACATTCGAAACAGAAAAAAAAAAAATTTGCAAATTGAATGGACGTGAACAAAGGTGCAGCTTCGTTACCAGACGGAGAACGTTTTGTTCTTAGAAGATGTGGGGACAGGGAAAACAAGGCAAAAACGGAGGTGAGATCCCTGATTTGCGATTTTTTTTTTTTTTTTTTGTATAATCGCCCATTAGCCACGTACTTTATATTGGTGAATATAGCATAAATGCACAAGAACATCAGGAGTGAGGAAGCAAAAATTGACATCTGGAAAGACCTTACCAGCCCTACATTTTGTGGATCCACATTGGGACATGCATGTCGCAATATTTGTAATAAGAACGACCAATTTTTTGTCACTTGTGTGGGCGACAATATCGTCCGTTGGAAACCTGTGGCGCAAAAAAAAAAATAAAAATAATTTTAAAAATAAAGCAAATTAAAAAGGCAAATTAAAGCCAAGCCAAAATAGCCCCGCGAGGAAATATTTATCAGAACATATGGCGCGTGTACTATTTCCCCCTTTCTCGAAAAACCAAATGAGCTTTTCGCTGGCGAAGAATCGTCCAACATAAATTACGAAATGAAATGTGAGGGGACCCTCCACCCCGTTGAACGTAACACTCTGTGCGAGTATGCGAACGTGCGGATTTACACAAGAATAAAGGTGAAGAAAAAAAATCAAATAAAATAAAAAGAGGGAAAAAAAAACAGTATAAGGAGACGAAGCAGAGGACGGAAACAAAACAGAGGCAAAAGCAAAGCAGCGCAAAAGGATTGCTACCAAAATGATGAACTTCTCAGATACGCTGGTCATCCTAAATGACGATGGGCCATGTGAGCTGCTGAGGAAGAAATATGCACAAATGCTTGTCCCAACGGTAAGCGTGTCAAACTTTAAAAAGAACAAACAGTACAAAACCTACAACAACATATTCCTGTACACGTATAAGGAGTATGATTTCCTGTGGGATCTAGACGATAACATTTTGCACAAGGTCCAGAGGTGCCTGAACAAGAGCGGGGTGCTCAAACTGGTTCTTTACATAAGCAACACAGCAGATGGGGACAGCAAGACGCATGATGAAATTGCAAAACGATTAAAGAAGGAGTACCTCTACAGTGGCTTTGTCAACATTTCCAACGAAACCAACCAGGCGGAAAATGGAATCATAATAAATGTGAGTTATACCCGTGGGAGTGATCACCTGTGCAGAGTAGCCAAGCAATCACCTAACCATACGCATATTATTTCCATTTGCGTGATGTGTCCACGTATAAATGACACTTACCCCATCCCCACCAATGAGGATTTCTTTACCCCTTTCCATAGATAACAGCAGAGAACCCCGATTTTTTATCAAACGAAGATGATGATGGAAATTCAAGTGACGGAGAGGCGTACAAAAATGCAGAGGACAACAAGAAGGTCGTAAATAGGGTGTGTGCTAACTGCACATGTGGGAAAAAAGAAAATGGAGTTAAACTAGATAAAGTGACCATAAATGAAAAGGAAGTCCAGTACCTTACAGAGAACGCCGTTTCTTCTTGTGGAAATGTAATGAGCCCATGGATGTTTCCTCACCCCCCGCGTGTGTTTTTCTTTATGTGCACTTAAGAACCACTATCTGTGCATGCTACGTCATATGCGTGCCTTATTTTCCCTTTTTTTTTTTTTTTCAGTGCTACTTAGGGGATGCCTTCCGATGCGCGTCTTGCCCCTACAAAGGTACCGACCGCTTCACAACTGCTCCACGTTGCATGGATTTGCACACCCATCACGTGTTGTACATGTGCAGAGGGTTGTCCCCGTACAAAAATATCCCCTTGCGTATGTACCCATGTCAATATGCTTCCTCTCCTTCATTTTGTTCACAGGCCTACCAGCATTCCAGCCTGGCGAAAACGTGAAGCTCAATTTAGACGTAAGACAGAGTGGCGGATGACAAACGTGTCGCAAAGGCGTCATGAGATTAGCACACACCACTCCTGTGCGCCTCCAAGCGTTTTGGTTTAACTGCAAATTGGACCCATAAAGTACCATCATTGTTACGTCGATTCGATCGCCCCTAACTCCATTTTATTTCATCCCCTTTTTGCAGAATGAATCCAACTGAAGTAGGAGCGCTTCCTCCATTCGAACCACCACTTGATCAGCTTTTAAAACAACCCAATCGTTTTCTCCACTTTTGCCGCTTCACGTCGCTATGATTTATTTTATTATTTTTTTTTTTTGGTGCCCTTTTGTAAAAGAAGAAATGAAGCATTTCATCATTTGAACGGAGCAGAGAAAAGTGAGCAATCGGGGTGATGAGAAATATTTCTGGCCATTTTAGGACTGATAAAGAGGGTCTTCCCCCCGTGGTTGGTACACACGTCATTTCTAGGTATGGGATGCATGTGTGGGGTATGTGTCCATTTCGCATCTCGTCTCGTCACACACCGTTAGCACATTTCAGTTGGATGCCTCTTTGAGCGGTTCGCTCTCCTGACCATTGGGACTAGAAGTGACACCCCCCCTAATTGCTCACTTTATTTTTTCTCATTTTTTTTTATCCATCATGGATACGACGTGGGTACCATTTTGTATGCCTCGACATAATTACTTTGCGCCCTTTCACCGATGCCTTTGCATAGATCCATGCGAATATTCATTATGTATGTTCTGATAAGAGCACATTTATATGTAGCTATTTAGTGTGCATAAAAAAAGGGAGGTATATGTTATATATATCTCTGTGTTACATGATACGCTTTGAATTTTCCTATTTTTTTTTTTTTTTTTTTTTTTTTTTTTTTTTTTTGTACACATAAAATTGAGTGACCAGTTTGTATACACCCCAACCCGGGAGGGTCCTCTTAACATTAAAATGAATCCTCCCCGTAGCAAACTTAACACATTTGTTTGCTTTAACTAAATTTATAAAAAAAAAAAAATTGTAAATAAAAAGGGTAATCCTTGATCACAATTGAGGCTCATTTGAGGAGCAATCTCGGCCTTCAAAGTGACAATGTGTAAGGGCGGCAGGCATCCAATAATGGCCAGCTAAGGAAAAAAAAAAATAAAGTGGAAAAAAAGGAGCCAAATCATTCAAAGGAGAGAGATGCAAACGCCGCGCAGGGAAGAAGCCACACGTACACTTGTTCCCATACATATGTCCACACGATACACTCATGCACAGGCGCGCGCATCTGCTGCTGAGGCCAGCTAGGATGAACAGGTCGCGCTCCGCATATACCACAAAATAATGGATGCTTCTAACAGTCGCAGTAGTATGGGCCACAAGAACAATGAAAAAAACGAATCGGACACGTTGAAGCTAAAGAAAAAAAACTGCGTCCTTATAACCTGCTTTATTTTTTACATCTTTTTTTTGTCCACCGTAAATAGTTTTGATAAGTATTTGCACCTAAGAACGTCACGTCTCATTTTGACCTACTCGAACGTCCTGTACTTGGTATCTTTTTTTTCGTTAAACAACCAGGTGAGTGGATCCCTCTGCATTTGATCATGAATGCGGATAAACCCCCCCACTGATGGGTCCATACTTCTGTGAAAAGCGTCCTCCTCAGAAACAAAAAAAAAAAAAAAAA